AATAACTTAATTTATTTTCGCAGTTTGTTACCATATTAAAATCGGCGATGGGAGGATTCTTTGAAGCATCTTTTAACTCGTCTATCGCTAAAAATTCATCTTTTTCTTCTTTACAATGACATTTATCTAAACATTTCATTAAACTGTATGTAGGTATGTTTCCTAGTGAAGAACATCTAAATTTTCGAGCCGATGAGTTCCTGTTTTACTATATTTTTGTCTCATTACAGAGAATAGATTTTTTAATGGGTTTTGGGTCAAACGATTTGTCATAATAAAAAATAATTTTTCTGTATAGAACACTTGAGGTTTTTTTCATTGGTATTCTATTATGATTTCTATATTCAGAATCAAACATATCATTTACTAACGTAAACAAATTTGATGTTAAAGTTTTTAACACAAGACGTTTGATTGCTGCTGAAACTGATCTACTTAATAATTGAATATCCAATTAACAGGAATATGTATAAAACGCGTTTGGCACGACATGAGCAGGGGTATAGAGTTTTATATATTAACTACGTATATTTGTCTACTTAATAAATAAAACCACCTTGGTACAACATGGTCTATTTTTGTTATCGTTTAGAGAAAAGTTTTGTACGGAAAATTTGTATTTTTGTGTTTATATAGTTTTGGCTAAGTTGATATATTAAACATACAAAATTAATAGTTAATGTCAAATCCATTTTTCAAAAAATCGCTGGCGAAAAAAAATAGTGTAGGACCTCTTTTAGAATGCAACTAATAACGACCAACAGTGTCAAAAACGTTTAAATTTCTATACAAGATTAAATGGTTTATAATATTCATGAAGATAACAATACAAGTTCCAAAGTGAGTGTAACATATTATTCGCTCCAATATTAAGAAGCTTTAGGTATATACTTACACGTGAATTTTAGACGGTAAGCCCAGACAAATGTAACCGAAAGCCAAAAACGTATATCTATTTTGTATATCTGAACTTTTCAGCCATAATTTTAGGACCTTTTGGTTGGAAATTAATTTAGAGATAGAGATACATACTCATATGAATCTATAACATATTTAACAGAGAAAACATCGTTATTGAACTTCTACATAAGACCTTATCTGGTGTGCCTCAAAGCTAAAAAAGTGATAAGTAACTAAAAAGTGGGTGTATTTTTTTCATTAAGACATGAAGGTAGGACAATACAAAGAAGAAGAAATACATTTTTAACAAATTAAATGCGTTTATTTAAACATAACAATTCATATTTTATTTATTACTTGCTAAAAAAGTTAACTACAATCTTTATATTAAAATCACAACAATTACCATACGTAAATTCAATCTCATCGACCGGTCACAGTTATTTTTCTCTAAATTATTGTTCAATTTCATTTATTGATGATGTTCTCGTTGAGTTAATGGCTAAACACCTAGATACATAATTAGTTGTATAATATATAATATAATTTACTATAGCTAAGCATATTTAAAACTTTTGACTAATCGATAATTAGTTTTAGATAATTACATTTAAATTTATTAGAGTTTTATGTTTAGGATGAAAGGGAGGATGGATTGAAGTATTATTTTTATTTACCCGCATTACTCAACCGCACTTCATTTCCCGTTCTAAATTTAAAAAAAAAAATTAAATAGTAATTGAAGGGCACAGGGGAAGAAGGGCAGTAGTTTAATTATGACAATTTTCCAGGAAAGCAAAAACAGTTAATTTGCGCATAAAAATCTATATGTCAACCGTTTTTAAAGCGTTAAGTTGGCCCACACTATAGCCCCTCTTTTACCAAATGGATTTCGACATCTAATAGTAGCCCCAATGTATTATTATTTAGTGTATTTTTTTAGAAATTGCAAGAAAATGGACTACTTCCCTTCTTTCCCTGTGTCCTTCAATTATTTTCCGAGAAAATGAGTTTCTTACGTTAAGTTAATCACCCTGTATTTAAAAATGTATCCTTTGTTACACTTAACTTTCATTAAAAAAAATGTATATATAATATATATATATACATTTTTATATATTTAATAAACTATAACAGTATACATAATTATTGTAGGTTATTAATTGATTAACAGATTTACAAAATTATATTTAGTAAGAGACAATTCAGAACATACAATACAATTTTGAAAACGTGACAGGTCATTATGATAAAGATATATTTTTATGAAATTTGAAAGCCCTACATATAATACTTGAACTATAAAAATTAAAATGTATAGACATTTACTTGATGTGGCATCATTTTCTGCCGTACTGCTATTTTCCTTATTTTGGGTGGCACTTGTTTCGGTTGGACTGCTGATCGCGTAACTTTGTTTAATACAAGTTTCAGTTGTTTTGCTGATCGCTTTACTTTGTGTGATATACATTTCGGTTATACCGATGATCGTTTTTTTTTGTGTGATACAAGCTTCGGTTGTACTGCAGCTTTCCTCACATTGGGTGGTACAAGTTTCAGTTGTACTGCAACTCGTCTTACTTTGTATAATACAAGTGGTACAGGTTGCGGGTGTTATCTTAGTTTCTTGGGTAACGCAACTAGTCTTCGGCGCTTCTGTCGAAGACTTGCAATTGTAAGTTACACAGGTGTTTGGTGGATTTTCAAACTTATACGTCGGCACGGGTTTCGAGCACATCGGCAATGTAGAATAAGGCTGTGTCGTACATGTAAAACATGGCGGCGTTACAGGCTTACATGCTGTCGTCTGTTCGTTGCACTAAAACGATAATGAATACCTCTTAATAATAGAAACGTAATATCCGCGTTCGAGGATTTGACAGTTAATATGTAACGTAAAATGATGTACAATAACGGTTTATGAATAAGACGAACGTTAATTTAATACTAAGTGCCAACAAAGGAATAAGTCGGTTTCAAAAATCTATATTTTTTAAACTGTACAAGTTACAAAGCTGAGTGACCTCATAAAATAACCGGTAGGTGTAATTTTATTAAAATAAAAATGTGACCAATGTTCAATGTGCCCGTCTCTAGTGATAAAAATATCCATGCTGTACTTAAACTCTGCTTAAACACTTTGGAGCATGTTCTGAGTGACACATGGCGTCAGGTCCGGCGGTCTTAGTAGCCAGGCATAAAGAGAGAGATCATCATGATTCACAAAGCGGCCAATCTATCGCTGTGAATAATGCTCATTACCGACAATGCAACTGGAGAGTCTACTTTTTTTTTAAGAAGTGGCGCAACACTGTAACTTGTACGGTTCAAAAAGTATTCATTTTTGAAACCGACTCAATCTTTTGTGGACACATTGTACATACGGTAAGATTAGAAAAAATACCCTTCAAGGAGAACTGTAATATGAATCATGAATATGTTTTATTACATTTTGGTTAGCTCAACAATGAGGCATTTTTTGATCATACTGCAAAATATGACGCAATTTTTTGAACTGACATTCGCTGACTGATACCATACATACTTTTATGTTGTTCAAAAACTCACTACAACTAAAGGTGTCCAATTAAATACAATGATTACAATCACTAACTTTTAAATTCATCATTGACAACTTTAAATCTTCTATGGTTATTTTAGTTACTCCAGCTCGTCCAAGTGAAATACACATAACTATTAACAGTAAAATAGCGAAAAAATACATTTCTGAAAAACCTTTAACGTGGCTCGAGGAAATAACTAAAATACGTATGCTATTAAATGTGTTGTTACCCATCGGTCACCATAATAATTGTCAAAGTTTCTAAAAATAAACACTGAAATTATACTTGACAACATATGACTCTTAGCCTCCTGACTCCTAGCCTTTTGTTTATTATTTTAGTGTGTAGTTTGTAAAATAATTTATACAATATCGTTTACAATATTGTATTAGTTCTGCTAATTTTGCACCTTCGGAACTTTAGCTCAACAAGTGAAACATCAAAATTTTGTATATCTAGAGAGTACTATTATTTTGATAAAAGTATCAGTGTAATCGATTTACACTGGCACGTGGATAGTACGGGGACAAAATAGATAAAAGTATTGAATAGGAAAACATGATTCGTGGTCATAGGTAGTGTTCAAGCGTTATCAAGCCGGGCACCGTCCCACCACCACCGACTGCACCGACCACCACCGCACCATATCACTTACTATCCGTTTTTTGTTGTTGTTTACCGCATCGTACCGACCGCACCGTTAACCGCACGCGTAAAAAGAAACTTTACACCGTTTTTCGTTATTTGTTGTTGTTTTTTAATTATTAATTACATATCAACCGCCTGCTGTGATGAGCTCGTGTACTTGTGCGACGTTCGAAGAATTAGTCTTGTTCTCGTAAAGTAATCAACAGTTTGCGGGCTTTCACCACCGTTCAGACGACCGTACCGTCTTGCAATACCACCACTACCGACCGTCACCGTTCTCGTATTTTCAAGTTGTAAATATTTGCTTATTGTATAGTTTTAGTTTTAAGTCCTTAGTAATTGTTGTTGTAGTGCGCTGGCCAGCCGGTAAGACATTTGTATACTTAACTTTGGTTTAATAGTAGTCTGCATGCTTTAATTATCATTTGTTTTTTTTTTTTGTATATATATTTGAAACCAATACAGTCCACAACATTACCGAACATTATTGGTCCTTCGAGCCTAGGATTATTTATGTATTTTAGTATTAAGTTTTCCTAAGTGGTTGAACCACCGGTTTTAAGTTTTAAGTTTTTAAGTTGGCGTATAATAATACACTTGTTGCACGTGTGCAAAGTTGGACTTTGGACCCTGCCGTCGGTATAGTACGACGCGAGTATACACGCGATAAGTGGACGTAGCCACCCCGCGCCGCGAAGGCAACGGACACCGCACCGCGTTGCCAAAGCTCGCGGCCGCTCGCTGCATAACACCGCGCGCCGCCACGTCTTGTGTGCGTGTATACAGCGTGACCCCAAGTATAAAAAAAAAAAAAAATTGTATTTCTAATTTTTCATTTTTTATTTTTATTTTTTTATTTTTCTGTTCCTGTGCTTTATAAATTACACAATGGGAGTTTACGAGGAAGCAAAGGCGCGCATAACAAGTCTTCAGTGTCGAGTACAGCGCGTATACGAGGCCGGGGAAGCATTGGGAAATGATTCTTCAAACAAGTTGGCCAAAACTAAATTTAAAATTATGTTTGCGACAATAGAAAATTTATATTCGGATTTTGAAACGCAATTAATGGTAATAATACGTCACCAATGTAAAAGTACACCCGTGGTAGATGCTATCGACACCGATAGTGTGCGTGCTCTTTTTGAGGAGAAGTATATCGGATGTAAAATATTTGCGGACGAATACTTACCGGAGGCAGTTGTCGACGATTCGCTCAACAAAACATTTTTTGAATCAAAAGCTCTCAGCGCCTCACAACCCTATCACCCGATCGAAAAATTAGCAGTACCTAAATTTGGTGGAAACCCTATGGAATATACCAGTTTTAGGAATATGTTTGACAAATTAGTTGGTGAATCTAATATGTCGCCAGTGGTGAAGTTTGGTTACTTGAAATCTTATTTGGTGGGAGAACCATTAAGTTTGGTATCTAATCTCATGTTGACTGATAGCAACTACGAACTAGCTTTGGCGCAGTTAACTGATCGTTATTCAAACCGCCGTGTTATCGCGGATAGTCACATTGAAGCTCTATTTAACGCGCCAAGAGCAACCTTCGGTGATGGTAGTTCTATAAGAAAACTACTAAATGTAATTTTAGAATCAACGGGTGCTCTCCAAAATCTATCGTATGCAGTAGATCAATGGGACCCCATTCTACTACATCTATTACAAAAGAAATTAGACAATTATTTAAGAGCGCAATGGGAACTACTAGTAGATACCTCCGAGGACCCATCTATGAAGGAGTTTACCACGTTCTTAACAAAATACTGCAAATCAGCTACCGTATCGCAAGGAAGTGTCAAGGTAACCACAAAAGGACTCAAACCAAACAAATCTATCACATTATTCAGCAGCCAACCAGAACGAAAGCTTGAACAGGGAAGGAAGAATAAGTCATTTTCCTGTCCTGTCTGTAATACACAACCGGGTCACTTGCTGATAAACTGTCAATCGTTCAAAGATAAAACACCAACCGAACGGCATCAAACAATCAAGGAATTGAAAAGATGTTTTATCTGTTTCAGTGCGCACATGGCCAGTGAATGTAAAAACCAACGAAACTGTTCTACGTGTGGGGGTAAGCACCATACTCTACTGCATTTGGAAAAAACCGAACCGAACGTTACCACGACCCATTTAACCGTTGCGGCTGCAGAAACAAAAGGTTATCATACGTCCGTTTTATTAGCGACAGCCTCTGTAGTTCTGCAAAACAAAAATGGTCAATCGGTTACAGTAAGAGCACTACTTGACAGCGCAAGTCAAAGTAGCTTTGTCACTGAACGTTGTGTCCAGCTTTTAGGCTTAAAAAGAGAAAAGTGTGATGTAACCGTTCAAGCGTTGTCCGGAGCTGAAGTCCCAGCGGTAAGAGGAAGAGCTAATGTCGAAGTACGACCGGTCGACCAACAAAGTCCCATGTTCAGCATTGACGTTTTAATTCTAACGCGTATTACTGGACCAGTTCCGTCGAAAAGAGTGTGGAATCATTCATGGCCACACATCAAAGGTTTGAAGTTAGCCGATCCATCGTTTGCCGAAGCGTTACCAGTTGATGTCTTGCTCGGCGCTGATGTCTTTCCACAGCTTCTCTTAGGCGACAAGGAAGAAGGTGAGGTAGATGAACCGATAGCGCTATCTACGGTGTTTGGCTGGGTTTTGATGGGTAAAACGACCAACGGTCCAAAACAACAAATTATCACCTTATGTTCGTCTGAATCCGTAAATCATACGTTACAACAATTTTTCGAGATCGAAGAAGTTCCAAAAGTTGAGAAAAATAACCCAGCCGATTTAGAGTGTGAGCAAATTTATCAAACAACCACAACACGACAACAAGATGGACGATACATAGTGCATCTTCCGTTCACACGAAATCCCCCTCTCCTTGGGAAATCCAGAGACGTAGCGCTGCATCGCTTACGAAGTTTGGAAAATAAGTTCAAAAAATCACCAGAACTTCATAAAGAGTACAATATGGCAATGTATGACTACTTAGAAACAGGTCACATGTCCGCTGTAGTGAAAAAATCCGACGGTGAAGAAAATATGTATTATATCCCACACCAAGCTGTATTACGTCCGGAAAGTACTACTACTAAATTGCGGGTCGTGTTTGATGCGTCCGCAAAAACTTCTTCGGGTCACTCATTGAACGACAATCTTTATTGCGGTCAAAGATTACAGCAGGACTTACCGGGAATTGTTTTACGTTTCCGACTTCATTCTGTTGTTTTTACCGCTGACGTAAAACAAATGTTCAGACAAATTGTTGTGACCGAAGCTCACCGACCGTACCAACGCTTGCTTTACCGGTTCTCTTTGGATGAACCAGTTCAAGAATATCAAATGAACACGGTAACTTTTGGACAAAAGTCATCTCCATTTCTCGCCATCCGCACTCTGCATCAGTTGGCAACTGATGAAGCAGTAAATGAACCACTTGTACAAACAGTTGTTAAACGTGATTTGTATGTAGATGACATAGCAACCGGAGCCGAAAGCGAAGAAGCTGCAATAGATCTGCAGAAAAAACTCGAAAACACGTTTGCAAAAGGTCACTTTGAGTTACGCAAATGGTCAAGTAATTCCGACAAATTACTGAGTAACATTCCACTCGATCACCAACAAACACTACCAGTGACGTTTGAAGAACATGAGTTGACATATACCAAAGTCTTGGGACTAAATTGGGATCCGAAGGTTGATTCACTAAGCTACAAATATCAACCCAATCCGGTTAAATACAGCAAGCGAGCTATTTTATCCGAGATCGCTAGAATCTATGACCCTCTAGGTTTATTGGCACCAGTAACCACGGTTCTAAAACGTTTGATAAAATATCTATGGGTCTTGAAAGTTGACTGGGATGACATTTATACCCGAAGATGCTAAATATGCGTGGCAGCAATATCATCAAGAGTTACCAATCCTGGCAACCTTGCGTGTACCCCGATTAGTAACCAGTCCAAACGCACTCTATGAACTACACGGTTTCAGCGATAGTTCGGAAGCCGCGTACGCAGCAGTAGTGTATTTGCGGGTATGTACAAGTGATAGAATAGGTTGTCATCTCTTAATGGGTAAGGCAAAAATTTCTCCAACCACAAAAATGTCCATCCCGCGGTTAGAGCTGTGCGGTGCGTGGTTATTAGCACACCTTTTGGATTACGTCTCCAAAAACCTAAAATCTTTATCCATTGGCACCGTAACCGCCTGGACCGATTCCACTGTTGCGCTGGCATGGATTAAATCCCCTACTAGTAGGTTAAAAACGTTTGTTGCCAACCGAGTCGCCCAGATTCAGCTGTTGACTAAAGGGTACACGTGGCGTCACGTTCCAACCGAGGAGAACCCTGCTGATTGCGCTTCACGGGGTCTAAGTCCTCAACAACTTACTAACCATGACTTATGGTGGAAAGGTCCTACATTTTTGTGTCAACCTAAAAATACTTGGCCAGCTCAAAACGCTGACAGTCCAGACAGCCGTTTGGAAGAAGAGGCGGAAGAGAACCCAATCACGCTTATATCTCAGGTAAAAGAAGAAGAGAGCCGCCTTTTATATCAATCTGATAATCTGCAAAAAATTTTGAGACTTACGGCTTACTGGTTGCGTGTTGGAGATCATTTATTGGGAAAACCTTCGGCTTGTATTTTCCCTCCGACAGTGGCCGAAACCGAGAGATCTTTACGATCGTTAATACGATGGACGCAGCGAGTATTTTTTGCAGACATCAAAAAAGCTATTGCTACAGACAAACAAGTACCTGCATCCGTACGTAAGTTATCACCTTTCTTAGATGAGAAATCGTTAATCAGAGTAGGTGGTCGCTTGAAAAACTCACCAATTCCTTACGACTAAAAGTACCCCATCTTGCTACCGAAAAATTCTAAATTGACTGAATTGCTGATAGATTTTGTGCATCGTACTAAGAGTCATCCGGGAGCTCAAACTACACACAACATTTTACGCCAAAACTACTGGATTCTTTCGGCTCGTAGCATCATCAGGAAGCGAATACACCAATGTATCCCATGTTTTCGAGTAAAACCACGACCAAACCCGCCCTTGATGGGAAATCTTCCAGTGTTTCGAGTTACCCAGGTCAAACCGTTCAGTCGCGCTGGTGTAGATTTTGCCGGTCCTTTTCAAGTGAAGGCCGCAATGTTACGGAAAATTAAAGTTACCAAAGCTTACCTTTGCATCTTTGTTTGCATGGTTACCACAGCAGTTCATATCGAGCTCGTGTCAGACATGTCCACGCCTCTTTTTATTGCCGCCCTAAACCGGTTTATTAGCAGACGGGGTCGTTGCACAGATATTTACAGTGACTGTGGCACGAATTTTGTGGGCAGTCAGCGATACCTAAAGGAGGTAGATACCATAATTAGAGAATCAAAATTCGTTCATCACGTCATCAGTACGCAGATTCACTGGCATTTTAACCCGCCCGCAGCACCACACATGGGAGGTCTGTGGGAGGCAGCCGTCAAGTCTGCTAAGACATTACTTCACCGTGTGGTTCAAGATAGGATTCTAACCTACGAAGAGCTCAATACCGTTCTACACCAGGTAGAAGCCGTTCTTAACTCGAGGCCTTTATGTACCATGTCATCCGACCCTAACGACTTCACGACCTTAACCGCAGGACATTTTCTTACTATGGAGCCTCTAGTCGCTGTTCCATCTCCTCAGGATGAAATTAGTCAAACCCATATCAGTACCCACAAGCGTTGGTCTTTAATACAGCAGATACATCAACATTTCTGGTCTCGGTGGAAACATGAGTATTTACACAAACTGCAGGAGAAAACCAAATGGAATCGTCAAGTTTCAAATCTAAAAATTGGCGATTTAGTCATTCTCCAAGAACCGACCCCTCCACTCACATGGAGTACAGCTCGAGTGGTTGATACGGTTTCTGGAACTGATGGAGTCGTCCGAGTTGCACAAATACGCACCTCCGCGGGCAAGATCCTCCGCCGCCCGGCGGTGAAGCTTTGTCCGCTACCGTCAAACGTTTGAAGACCTACGGTTCTTCAAGGTGGGCGGTATGTTCAAGCGTTATCAAGCCGGGCACCGTCCCACCACCACCGACTGCACCGACCACCACCGCACCATATCACTTACTATCCGTTTTTTGTTGTTGTTTACCGCATCGTACCGACCGCACCGTTAACCGCACGCGTAAAAAGAAACTTTACACCGTTTTTCGTTATTTGTTGTTGTTTTTTAATTATTAATTACATATCAACCGCCTGCTGTGATGAGCTCGTGTACTTGTGCGACGTTCGAAGAATTAGTCTTGTTCTCGTAAAGTAATCAACAGTTTGCGGGCTTTCACCACCGTTCAGACGACCGTACCGTCTTGCAATACCACCACTACCGACCGTCACCGTTCTCGTATTTTCAAGTTGTAAATATTTGCTTATTGTATAGTTTTAGTTTTAAGTCCTTAGTAATTGTTGTTGTAGTGCGCTGGCCAGCCGGTAAGACATTTGTATACTTAACTTTGGTTTAATAGTAGTCTGCATGCTTTAATTATCATTTGTTTTTTTTTTTTTGTATATATATTTGAAACCAATACAGTCCACAACATTACCGAACAG